CCCCCTGGCCCGGTCCCCCTCCACCCGTCCTCCAGCCTGGCGCTGCTGAGCTCGGCAGCCATGCAGGACAGCGGTGCCCTGGCGAACGTGGCGGCCGTGGTCAACCCCGTGGAACTGGTGGCCATGGAGTCCGGCCTCACTTCCACTATCCAAGCTGTGGAGGGCACCTCGGACGACGGGCAGACCATCATAGAGATTGACCCAGCGCCGGATCCCGAAGCGGACACGGACGAGTCGGAGGGCAAAGCTGTCATCCTGGAGACAGAGCTGAGGACTGAGGAGAAAGTGGTGGGGGATGTGGAGGACCATCAGCACCAGGTCCATAACGTGGAGATTGTGGTTTTGGAGGACTAGTGGGGAAGGCAAGCATCAGTTTGGGGAAGAGTTGGGAATTTGTTTTATTTTGGGCTTTTTTGTTAAGCATCTTTGCCAGCCACCCCATTTGTTTCCATGGATATTTTCATTGTACTGTATATAGTATATATATGTATAAATTTTTTTTGTTTTAAACAAAAAAGCTGGAGAAACACGTGAGACCTGGAAAAGGCTCCGTCTCCGTGGAGCACTGAACAGCACCGCCTGTTTGCAGGGTCAAGGAGAGACTGGATCTCTGCTCAACAACCCAGCCGGGAGGAACTGGATGAGGGCTCCCGGTGCCGAGAGCGCGCCGTGGCCCAGCCGCGCGCATGGTGCTTCTGCTCTGGGCTGCCATGGCCCCCGTTATTTTAGTTCAGAGAGACGATAACCAGTGGCTGGAGCGTTGATGTGACTGTGGGAAGGGGTGACAGCTTTGGGGTGGAAAAGGTACCTCATTTGTATTTTTATTTTCCCCCAGGGAAGGGAATTCTGCCGGGCTCTTCACTGTCACCTCAACTGGGATTTTTTTTAATATTATTATTATTATTATTATTGCTTTGGGGAAGACGACAGTAACCCTGCCTTTACTGTCCATATTCTCCTCCTCCTCTGCACAAATTGTTTTTATATCTGTATTTTTATTTGTTTGCTCTCTCCCTTCCCTTGTCCAGATTTCCCAGCTGCAAAGCCCTGGGACCTACTCTCGCCGGTCTCAGGGGTCCCTGTATCCTAATCCCACCTCCTCCCGTGGCACTTTTCCCCCATCCCTTTCCCCGCCTGGCCAGGCTCGGTGCTGCAGATGCCGCTTGGAGACTCCGAGATCACTTCAACCTTTTGCATAAAGGCAAAAAATAGCGACTCGAGCTTAAAACCACAACCTCCCCCTTCTCTGCTCAGTGCTGCAGGGACCTTTGGGGCTGTACAAAGCATGTTGTGCTGTCGCTTTCCGGGAGAGCTGGACTCCGGATCGGGGCAGCTTCCGTTTACACTGTGTGCTGGAGCTGCTCCGTGCTTGTCGCTACTTGTTTGGTGGGTTTTTTTTTGTATTTTTCTTCTTTCTTCCTATAATCTCTTGGCAGGATTTAGAACTGGCACGTTGCTGAAATAACGTGCGCTCCGCTGTTTTCCCTCTTTCCCATTTTTTTCTGGGGTCGGGGTTCCCTTTGGGCTCCGCCACGGTGGGAAGATGGATGGGGGGAAGTGCCGGGTGCTGCAGAGGTTTGGGAGGGCTGGGAGGGGGGGAAGCTGCTTGGCTGGAAATATTAAGCAAAACAACAGCAAAGGAAACACACCTGGGGAGGGCGGGTGGGGAGGGGAAGGAAGATG